ATTACTAGAGCTACTGTATGTTTCTTTGATTATGGTTAGCATGGTATATCTTTCATCCATTTATTTTGAATCTTTTTAAATTTGAGGTCAGTTTCTTGTACATAATGTATACATTGGTCTTTTTAAACATCTATGCTGATAGTCTCTGTCTTCGAACTGGTGTGCTGAGACCACTGATGTATAAAGTGATGATTGACCGCTATCATCACTGTCACTGCTTTCTATTTGTTGGTCTTACTCTTTTTTCTGGTCTGCCACTCTTTCAACCTTCTCTTGTTTTAGTAAGCATTCAATATGATCTCATTTTTCTTCCTGTTTTAGCATATCAACTATTCAATTTATATTCAGACCATTTTTTTCTTAGGTGATTTGTAGATGGTATCCTTCCAGGATTTAATTTTTTAAATTTTAAAATTAAAAAAAAAAATGATTGCCCTTGAATTTACCATATACATTTACAACTAATCCAAGTTCTCTTTCATACAACACTACACCATTTCATAGTTCATGCCTTGGAAGAATATTCCCAGTCCTTAAAACACTGCTGGCACTCATTTCTATAAGCTATAATCACCAAATAAAATTGCTGTAATTTTGAATCAATTGTTACCCATTCAATTAAGGTGGTCTTTGTTTGTTTTTTGAAACAGAATGAGAGAGAAGTGGGGAGGCAGGCCAGCATCGCATTTAGGTGCTGGTTTGAGGCCCAGCTGCTCCACTTCTGATCTCTCTCTCTGCTATGGCCTGGGAAAGAAAGCAATAGAAGATGGCCTAAGTGCTTGGGCTCCTGCACCCACCTGAGACACAGAGGAAGCTCCTGGCTCCTGGCTTGGGATCAGCAAAGCTCTCGCTGTTGCGGAAACTGGGGAGTGAACTAGCGGCAGATGGAAGACTCTCTCTCTGCCTCTCCTTCTCTCTGTGTAACTCTGACTTTCAAATAAATAAATAAATCTTTAAGAGAGAGAGAGAGAGAGAGAGAGAGAGATATCTTCCATTCATTGGTTCACTCCCCAACTGGCCATGATGGTCGGTACTGGGCCAGGCTGAAGCCAGCAGCCAGGAACTCATCTGGGTCTCCTACGTGGCTCCAGGGTTCCAAGCATTTGGGATATCTTCTGCTGCCTTAGGCACATTAGCAAGGAGCTGGATAGGAAGTAGAGCAGCTGGGAGTTGAACCAGAGCTCTTATATTGGATCTGGAGTCACAGGTGGCAGCTTCACCATTGTACAACACTGGTCGTAGATGAAGATTTTCTTAAAAATTATTTTATTTCCACTTGTTCCTTCCTTCTCTAGTGTTGTTTCCTCTTTTATGCAACTCCAAATTTCTGACCTATATTATTTTCCTTCTTTCTGAGGATTTCTTTAACATTTCTTGTGAAGCAGGTCTACTAGCAACAAATTCCTTTCATTTTGTCTGAGAAAGTCTTTCTCGTTCATTTTTCAAGAATAATTTTTTTTTGGTGACAGAATTTTAGTTTTTTAACATGTTTTTCTCTCAGCACTTTATGTATTTTAATCTTTTTTAAAAAGGATTTATTTGTTTAATTGAAAGTTACACACAGAGCCGGCGCCGTGGCTCAATAGGCTAATCCTCCACCTTGCGGCGCCGGCACACCGGGTTCTAGTCCCGGTTGGGGCGCCGGATTCTGTCCCGGTTGCCCCTCTTCCAGGCCAGCTCTCTGCTATGGCCAGGGAGTGCAGTGGAGGATGGCCCAGGTGCTTGGGCCCTGCACCCCATGGGAGACCAGGAAAAGCACCTGGCTCCTGGCTCCTGCCAGGATCAGCGCGGTGCGCCGGCTGCAGCGGCGGCCATTGGAGGGTGAACCAGCGGCAAAGGAAGACCTTTCTCTCTCTGTCTCTCTCTCTCACTGTCCACTCTGCCTGTAG